TACATTTCCCTTAATGTGTGGGCCTACTCATTGAACAGACATATACTGACAGTCTCTATATCCCGGTTACTATATTAGAGTTCTGGTTACATCACTCTGCTCGAAAGTTTACAATTCAGGGGGGCTTTCGGTATTCCATGTTTATTAACCATAAAGCCACATGGCGTTTGGAAATGCTTTTATTCAACACAATTCTGAGGATATTCAATGAACGTGTAATAACCAGTACAGTAGCCTTAAAATGTTGCTATCAGCCTGTAGATTACTGGAGACTTGTGGAAGGCGTGTTAGATGTCCAGAGGTCTACTACCACCTTTACTGTAAGACTCAACCGTTGTGACATCTATCCGTATAACCTTCATGAAGGCACAGTGCCAAAACTGGATATTTTGACTTTTGAGGACCCCATTTCTGAAAATCACACCTACAGAATTATCAGTAAGACATACAAAGGTATAAACAGATGTCCAGTGCAAGAATGGTTAAAGTCTGATGACATTCAATGACTACGTTGCAGGTGTAGAAGAAATAACGTGTATATTGACTATGGAATCAGGTTGACTTTTATTGTGAGCAGACTGCAGAATCTTCACCAGGATGCCTGCCTTTACAAGGGGCACAGGGCTGCTAACAATGTCAGTGTTTCAAGCTCACCAGCTGGTCCACCTGAAATGGTGAACTGCTTGCTCCCATAAAGATTACATTTCAGACTCTGTATATTCCCAAATAGGTGAGGATTATAATAGCTAGTGTTCACTGAACACTTAATATATGCTAAGCACAGCCCCAATTAGATGCATGTATTCATTCAACCTTCACTATTGCCCATTAATTGCTTTCATCCCTGTTTTACATAAAAGGAAACCGAAGCATGGACCTTATTTAAATTCTTTAACTTCATGGCTATTACGTACCCAAGCCACAATTTGGAACCAAATAATAGGACTCCAGAGCTCATTTGCTCACCAGCATACTGTGCCTCTTAAAAACACAAGTGTATTTTCACTATTTTGTCACACACTGAATCCGATTTTTTCTCTATGTATAAAATTTTTCATTAAAAACATGTAAGTTGTATTTTTTTAAAACCTACATAGAAAAAAAAAAACCCTACATAGCCAGTTTATAATTTGATGTAGTCTGGTTCAAACTTTTTTTTAATTGAAAAGTCTCCATCAAAACCTGAATCCAGAAGTTGAGAAAAGTAGCTATGTGAGAACAGTTTAAAACTCCAACATAATACTACTTTATTCCAAATACCCAAACCATACTTAATCCCATCAGTCAATGCTGACTCACTCCCTGTGTGTTTCTGAGACTAACTGTTGACGGGTGTAGAAGGCCCGGGCTTTCACCCAAGGAGCGGGCTGGTAGTTTTGAACTGCTGACCATGGGGATCACGGCCCAATGTGTAACCACTACACTACCAGGGCTCCTTCACTAACTTATTAGGTCCCGTATGTTAAAAGTAGAAAGTACTAAGAGCTCTCCTGGAGTTTAGGGTATTAAAGCCAGGTAGCTTCACTAATGCCTGCAGTATCAAAGGGCCATGGCAAAATCTATACTTCAAAAGCACAAAGCAAATCTCTATTTTTTTTTACTGTTTAAAGTGTTTTTAAAAGAAAACATCCTGTGTATAAAATGGAAATTGGTGGAGGGAGGGTGGGGTGGAAAGGGAGACCCAATGACAAGGATCTACATATAACCTCCTCCCTGGGGAACGGACAACAGAAAAGTGGGT